GAGATACAACTATTTGAAAATCTGGAATCTGAGGGTGCAAAAATATCTAAATATTGAGAAAATCATCTTTAAAGTTGTCCAAATTAAGTTCTTAGCAATGCATATTACTAATCAAAAATGAAGTTTTGATAGATTTACGGTAGGAAATTTACAAAATATCTTCATGGAACATGCATCTATATAGAAAAATCTATAATTTTGACCCATACAATGTATTGTTGGCTATTGCTACAAATATACCCCAGCGACTTAAGACTGCTTTTGTGCTCCAGGTCACATGTCCATAGAAAGCACATTAAATATAAGTGTCTACTTTTAAGGTTTCAAATAAGTTTTTGGAGAATAAAATGTTAAAATTTGGTTTAAATAATGTTACACTGTCATTCAGTGTAACACAATATTTATGTAAAAATTCAAACATTCTTATTCTGACCTGTACATATTAAAATATATAAAAGAATAATGGAGCATATTAAATTTTATTGTGTTTTAAAGGAGTAAAACATTCTTACTGACCAATGGGCAAAACCTAGGATAGTGGCACATTTTAAACGCTAATTAGTATTTGGGGTGAAAGTAATTAGTCTTTTAATATGTCATAAATTGTAAATATGCCTGACAAGCTTGTTACACTGAATGACATTTTAGTGGGTCTCTTCTGTAAATCAGGGAAAAATGTATGATATTTATTTTTTGCTCGGAAAAACAAAAACAAAATTGCAATTACATTAAAAATAAAACTTTTTAAATTTTTGGGGGGAAAACAACAACAATTTAAAGCAGTATTACACTTATTGTTTTTATGCTTAAACACTTTTTAGTCTTGGAAAGCACGACGGGTAACAGAGAGACATGGGTCGTACTTTGGGCATCTCGGAGATGATGAGGCTGAACTGATGGTCACACAGGAGCTTCCAGAGCGCCAGCGTCTGATAGGAGCGATGGATCAACTGCTGCATGGCCTGAAGAGACGCTTTCTCATACGCTTGAGCCTCCGCTGAGGAGCAAACATGAGAAGATGGTGAACATCTGAGCGCTCACAGATACACAGAAACACACTGAAACTCACTGTGGTACTTCCTCTGGAGCTCCTGCTGCACTTGCTGAGAGCTGGAACCATCGGGCCGCATGAATCCCAGAAGCCTTTGCTGTAGGTTTGCTGGCGAGCTGAAACTGAGGTCAAGTGAGTTATAGTAAAGGATAGTTATGGCTACATATTTACTTTAAATGTAATAAAAGAATTGTTAATAAGAATAGGGAACCAAAAAAATGGAATTAAGATCAGTGATAAAGTATTCAAATATTTTTTGTTTTTAAATAAATAGTAAATTTCACTAAATAAATGAAAAAAAAAAATAACTAAAATAACTAAATGAAACAAATTTAAAATCTATAATTTTATAGAATTTAAATAGAATTTTTTGTTTTTTTTAATTGCATTAAATTAAAATAAATTACAAAAATAAATAAAACAAAGTTAACTACATAACCGGAAATTAGTAAATGAAACGAACAACAAATTAAATACTAAATAAATATAAAAATCGTAAAATATATTTATAGAAAAATTTATATAAATAGTATATATATTTTTAATGTATTTAAAAAAACAAACTAAAAAATAGTAAATAAAATTTAAAACAAATTAAATACTAAATAAATTAATAAAAAAGTAAAAAATATATATATTTATATTTACAGAATATAAATATATTTTTTATTAATTATCTTATAAAAAAAGTATTTAATTTTTTTTGTAAATGCATTTAAAATAAAACAAACTTAAAAATTAATGACTACATATCTGAAAATTTGTAAATGAATAAAACTTAAATTAAATACTAAATAAATTCATTTAAAAAAAGTCAAAAATTAAGATAAATAAACAATAAATACAAACTAAATAACTATGTTTGATTTATTTAAATATAAATATAATAAATATAACCTTAAAAATATTAAAAATTATAAATATAACCTTAAAATAGGTTTGCTGGTGAGATGAAAGCGAAGAGGTCAAGTAAGTTAGAAAAGCCAGCGTGCATTACAACAAGATGACCATGAGAGGATCTGAAGGGCACCTACTTGGCCACACCCAGAGAAGTCGGACTGAACTGGGAGTTTTTGTCCAGGAACTCCTTCAAGCCCTGAAGCTCCAGCAGTACGACCTCCAGATCAGATGAACTGGCTGTGCTCTCCAGCTAAAACCAAAGAACATCATCAGGAAATACACAGAACGCTGCTGGAAGTGATTTCAACCTGAACCTAAACACACAAAATCATTGACCGGCAGAGAACATTTCTGATTGGCTAAAAAAATGTGGGAAGTGATGCACTACAAAAACCCTGGAACGCAAAGGAGCAGAAATTTAAAAATGCCCCAAAATTACAAATCATTACTCACAATCAATTAAATAAGTATTTGTGTAAAAATGCTCCAAAATCTGCCACTACTCACAATAAACAAAATAAAGCACTTTTTAAAAAAATACTCTAAAATCTGTCATTATTCACAATAAAAAAATACATAAATAAAAACATTTTTGTAAAAATGCTCCAAAATTTGTCACTCAAAATAAACAAATAAAAAAGTAGAAATTTGTAGAAATGCTTCAAAATCTGTCATTACTCCCAAAAAACTAAATAAATAAATCAGTATTCAATTAAATACTCACAACTAAATATATTAAATACAAACAAAATAAATGGATTTTTTTTATTTCTTGTAAAAATGCTCCAAAATCTGCTGCTACTCACAATAAACAAAATAAAGCACTTCTGTACAAAAAAAATACTCTAAAATGTCATTTCTAACAACAAAAATACATAAAAATAAATTGAAAAATTTTTTTTTTGTAAAAATGCTCCAAAATGTGTCACTCACAATAAACAAAATATACTAAAAAAACTAAATAAATAAAACATGTTTGTAGAAACGCTTCAAAATCTGTCATTATTCCCAATAAACTAAATAAATAAATAAATCAGTATTCAATTAAATACTCACAACAAACTAAATAAATACAAACAAAATAAATGATTTTTTAAATTTCTTGTAAAAATGCTCCAAAATCTGCAGCTACTCACAATAAACAAAATAAAGCACTTCTGTAAAAAAATACTCTAAAATCTATTATTTCTCACAACAAAAATGCATAAATAAAAATAAACAAAAATAAATAAACAAAAACATTTTTGTAAAAATGCTCCAAAATGTGTCACTCACAATAAACAAAATATATAAATAAAAAAACTAAAATATAACATGTTTGTAGAAATGCTTCAAAATCTGTCATTACTCCCAATAAACTAAATAAATCGGTATTCAATTAAATACTCACAACAAAATATATTAAATACAAACAAAATAAATGAAGTTATTTTTTATTTCTTGTAAAAATGCTCCATCAGTCGCAACAAACAAATAAATTCATACAAAACAAATAATCAAAACATTATTTTTATTTTAAATGCTTTTTTAAATGCATTTTAAATGAATAAATAAAAACAAGGCAATTTTGTAAAACGGCTCCAAAATCGGTCATTACTCACAATAGTCACAGTCTGACTCCCGTTGGTTAAGATGGTCTCCGCCGAAAGACTCCCATCCCAGATGTTCCTGTTTCAAAGCATCAACATTTGACAAGAATCGGTCAAAACAAACCTTCATCCAGCTGTTACAAGCGTTCATAAAGTCCCATTAGTCTGTATTTGCTGGTAAGGCTGACTGACCCCAGTATGCGAGTGAAGTAGATACTGATGCCGTTGTGTTTTCCAGAGAAGATGACCTCGGGTCCAGAGGAGGTCACTACAACGCTCGGGCTCATGGGAGTCGCTGGGACGTAAGGCGTCGACATATTCGGCGGGAACATGCCTGATGAGTCCAGATGAGTCAACCACGTATTTACAGACAACAGCAAAAAACACATTCATAACATGACACTTGTGCAACATTCACTTTCAATATTCAAGCACGAAGCAACAAGATACAAGAGCAACAGGATGCATACTGGACTGTGATACTACTGCATTATGTTCTATATTTAGAATACCATGCAAAATAACAGGAAAAAAGACAACAAAAAGATGCATTACGGGCCTGGAATACAGACAGACATTTATTTACTTGTGTAGAAAAAGATTGCAAGGAATAGTTCAATCGAAAAATTAAAATATCCTCATCCTCATTTCATCCCAGATGTAGATGAGTTCGTCAGATTTGGAGAAATGTAGCATTGCATCAGCGTCTCAGCAATGGATGCTCTGCAGTGAATGGGTGCCGTCAGAATGAGAGTCTGATAAAAACATCACAATAATCCACAAGTAATCCACAGCACTCCAGTCCATCAGTTAACATCTGGAGAAGACAAAAGCTGAAACAAATCCAGCATTAAGACGTTTTTAACTAAAATATGAGTCCTCTATTCATAATAATGCTTTTTACAGTGAAAAAGTGTTCTGGTCTGAATCAGGAGAGAAATCTGCACCGATCAAGCACTGTTTAAACAGTCCAAAACAGCTCTATATGTAGCTGGATTTTGATGTGAGAGACAACAGGAGATGCACTTTTTCACTGGAGGAAGAGTTATTATGGATTATGCACTCAATGTATTTTAGTTAAAAACGTCTTAATGCTGGATTTGTTTCAGCTGTTGTCTTCTCCAGATGTTAACTGATGGACTGGAGTGCTGTGGATTACTTGTGATGTTTTTATCAGCTTTCATTCTGACGGCACCCATTCACTGCAGAGCATCCATTGCTGAGACACTGATGCAATGCTACATTTCTACAAATCTGATGAAGAAACAAACTCATCCTAATCTTGGATGGCCTGAGGATGAGAACATTTTTTAGCAAATGCTGCTTTTTGCGTGAACTATTGCTTTAAGATCAACTATACTAGTACACAGATTAGTGAAGCGGTCGCTGGTCTGAGGGGTGGTTTATACCTGGCGCAGGTGTGGCAAGAAAACTGGGGTTTGGTAGGGGGCTGCCGACAGGCATTGGGGATCCTACAATCACAGCAGACTACAGATTAGACATTAGTCGGGACTGATGCATGAACAGCCAGCTACTAGTCAGTGATCTGACATGGTTAATTGTTAAAACAACAAGATCTGTGTGGCAGGTTGAGATGTTAGTCACCTGGCACGGGGGAGCTGAAGAGCGGCCCGACGTTACTGGGGGCAGAAATGGCAGATGGGAAACGCATCTGAGCCTCTCCACCGTACCTGCATAAAAACACCTTCGCTATCAATACATCATGTCAAAACTGGAGACAAAGCCGTGCAACATATCAAATACTCGCAATACATTCATGACGATTTTGTTGCCCATATAAAATTAAGAAACATCATGATTTGTGAATATTGCAATGGTTTTAAGGTACATTTTATTTAGTCATTCAATGAACTGATAAAATGTATCGTATTTTCCGGAATAATTGTTGCACTGGATCAAAATTGTTAAAAAAAAAAAAAAAAAAACTGAAGTCACATTGGTGTATAATATAGAGATGCACCGATTGCAATTTTCTTGACCGATAACGATTTTTTTCTAAGAACTATAATTGACAGCATATACAAATAAAAATCTTTTTTCAATGCAAAATTTTATTTCCATAAAAGAAATTGTTAAACGTTACAATTTCCCCCACACCGCACTAAGTTACAGATGTTTTCTCACTTAGACAACTCTCAAAATAAAGTGCTCTGTGACTGGAAAGAGGTAGAAATGAGTTGCATAACAAAACGGATGTCATTTCCCAAGGTATATAAATGGATTCTCTCCAAACCTTATTAAATGTCATCTTTCACATCAAATTCTTAAATGTTATTTTTTGTTAGAATAATAAGACACTGTAGAGTTGTTACCATTCAAATTAAATCAGTATCAGCAAACTGCAGGAAACACAGAAGCTGCATCTGAAGCGGCATTAGATGCATTTACTCAGACTGCTTGATGATGATGAGGTGCCATAAATGCATTTACACCACAAAATTGCAAATGCATAAATAATGTAAAAAATGCATAAATATTTGCCGATACCGATATATCGGCGACAGGCTCATATCGGCCAATAATATCGGCTAAACCATATATCGGTCGGGCTCTAATATATACATAATAAATATACACAGTAAACACAGACATATGTAAACAAAAACTTTTATTTTGGATGCGATCAATCGTTTGACAGCACTAATATATAGATATCTATTAAATAAATTATAGTGCCATTCTTTATAACCAACATTTATTATAAACGTCAAGCCTAAACAATTTTATTTAAAGCGAAACGGAAACGACTGTCGTGTGGGAAATGTGCTATTCAAATGTGCTCACAAACCTCTCATGCGACACGAATCCAAATATTTTGCATGCTTGACGTTAACTGCATTATATAAGTCGCAACAAATGCAATTTAAGCTGCTGTGGATAAAAGCATCTGCCAAATGGATAAAATGCAATATAAATCTAAATTTCCTAAAGGGTGAGTCAATCAGTTCAAATTGTCTATTTAACTTAATTGATTAAAAAAATTTGTTTAAATCACTCAATTAAAAAATATTCATAGCATACTAAATGTTAAAATGAAACAAAGGTTCCTCTGACTTAAAAAAGAACCTTTAAGCCATTACAAAGCAACCACAAATACAGAAGACAAATATCATCAAAAGCCTGGGAAGAAGCAATTATATATCTTCATATCTGACCTGAAGAAGGCTCGTGTGGCCCAAACAGAAACCTCTCGATCACACGCTGCAGAGGAACAGGCCAAGATGAGCGCTGTGGCACACGCCTGCCCTTCCTGTACAGCAAAACATGCGTATTTATCGACAAACACACATGAAAGTGTGTGCATTCAGAGGTTAAGCGTGCCGTCACTCACCCCATGCAGCTTGAAGAACCTCTCGATCTCCTCGCTCTCTCCTCCAGCGCTGCTCACCAGCAGGTGGCGCAGCTGATCCACCGGCCGCAGCTTGTGGAAGATGTGACTCCCCTGACGACGGAAAACAAACCGTGAGAGACGAACAACATGAAGAACATCACAACGGGAGGTTCAATCATTAGTGATCGACCGATATTGGTTTTTTGACAGCCGATGCCGATATCTTGGAAAGCAGGGTGGCCGATATAAAGCCGATATAATTTTATTTATTTTAATTAATATTTAAGAAATTTGAAATAATTTGAAAATGGATTAAAAAATACAAATGTTATATAAACATACTTGTACTTTAGATGGCAAAGTATTTTTCACAATTAAATATTAAATATAAATATAATTAAAAAGGAAGTAAACATTGTAACCAACAGGGCACTCGGTAATCTGGGAAGTTTGTGTGCATTGGGAATCATATTTTTTCAAATAAAGCCAAGGTAACACTCATTTTACATACCGCACACAGTGAAAATGACATAATATGACAGTGGGGAAATGCATAAAGCTCAGCATAATTTCAATTCATGAGTTTATGATCATGCAGGATACACATGCACACTTCACAAGATCTCACAGCTGGATCCGACTAAGTTTGTGAAATTAAATGTTCATTAGTCATTCAAAGATTTTTTAAATGATATAAATGCATATTTGCTGAATTCTGACAGCAAACGATAAAGTATTATAATGTTTCCTTTCTATTACTAATAATATTATTAGACAGACTTCTATTCGTATTAGACAGAATTGTTAAACGATGACAGCGAACAGGAGGGAGAATGTGAGCACTGTGCTCAGGTGCTGCCGTTCCCAGCGCCGTCAAAATAAAAGTCCCACCTCGAAAGCATCGGCCAAATAGGAAAACTTATCGGCCAATGCCGATATGTGAAAAATGCCAAATATCGGCCGATATATCGGTCGACCACTATCAATCATACCTGAGCGGACAGGAGAACAAACTTCTGCGGTGGGACACTTTGCTGCTGAACGACCAGAGGAGTGTCAGTGACTGGAATGAGATCTTTATTGAGAGGAGTGAGGATTCTGGGAGATTCGGTTTCCTCGATTGAACACAGAGCCCAGGAGTGACCGTCCACATTCACGGTCATCTGGAGAAAGAGACAAAAACACGGATGTCAGAGTGTTGTTTTGCCACAGAATAAAAAAAATTCAAAAGGCTACTGCGACTTTTCAACCTGCAAGATATAAACTCAGAATTCTGAGGGAAAAAAAGTAAATAAAAAAAAAATTGCGAGATATAAACTCAGAATTCTGAGGAAAAAAAAAAAAATTGCAAGATATAAACTCAGAATTCTGAGGAAAAAAATTGCGAGATATAAACTCAGAATTATGACTTTCTCACAATTCTGAGTTTATATATTGCAATTATGGTTTTTTTTTTTTTTTACCACAGAATGAAAAATTCTCTCACAATACTAGGGCCCTATGAAATCAGTTTTATTTTTACCGAATTCCATTTTACTTTTTTCTGTGTTTTCCATTTACATTTTTCTGGATTCCATTTTCTCCATTTTAATTTTTAAATTCTGTTTTAATGGTATAATAATCAAAAAGTATTATTATTAAATATATTAAATATATTTTATTTTTTTCCTCAAATTCCATTACTTTTTTTACCAAATTCTGTGTTTTTGGTTTTAATTTTTCTGGATTCCATTTTAATGGTTAAATTAAATTTTAATCATCAAAAAGCATGTCTAATCAATTGAAATCACAATTTTTTTTTTTTTTACAATAATAAAGGGCCTATGAAATTTTATTTATTTTTTTCAGAAATTCTGTGTTGTGTATTTTAATTTTTCTGGTAATCAAATGAAGGCATAAAACCTTCTCGGCAAACTGAGTGCTGCACAAGAGAGATTTACGGTTATTACACTGTATTATGGTCTTGATTATTACTCTGTCTTCAGAATGTTTATCTGTCATTCCTTTGGATTTAAATTCATGCTTTATTATTTCTGGTTTGATTTTAATGTACAGCACTTTGGTCAGTCATGTGGCTGTTTTTAAATGTGCTTTATAAATAAATGAATTTCAAAATTACAACAGTGATAAAAAAAATGTGTGATTATTCCTTAAAAAATAAAGTTTTAATTTATTATTATTACTACACTGATATATGTTCTATTGTACAATAGTAATATATTTCAAGTTAAACCAAACTTTTATTAGCTTCTGTAGTTTTTCTCACATGAAATGTAAAATGCTTATGAAGTGACTCTCTGGAGATGAAGTTCATGTACTTTTGATACATTCATCCAAAATTCTACCAACTCCACAACGTTCCATGTTACACAGTTCCATAAACCGTTTGTATCTCACAATTCCGACTTTTCTTCTCAGAATCGTGAGGGAAAAAAAGTGGGAATTGAGAAATATAAAAGTCAGAATTGTGAGATAAAAAGCTATTTTTTTACCCCATGGTGGAAGCAAGCTTCCATAAAAATAAAAAAATTGACAAACAAATGAAGCAACCAGACGGACAGGAACAGGAAATAAGGTCTCTGACCTGAGCTTCCATGAGGGGCTTTTTAAAGGGAAAGGAATCGTGGTTGATGCACCAGAGAATGTCGCTGTCTTCTGTCTCAGACGCAGCCATCAGCAAAACTCCTTTACTGTAGAGAGCCTTGTGTACTTTAGCTGGTTTCTGGAGAGTGGAGGACGCAGAGAATCCAGGCGGCAGACGCACATGCACCAGCGCCAGCACGCAGGGCCGGGCCGACATGTGTTTAGCGTTTGGAGGAGCAAAAGGGATGCTGCTGAAGTAGAGACGCACACCTGCGCCACACACAAAAACACAATTTAGAGGATTTACAGACCCAGGATTCATGAGTCTCCATTCATAAATCATACCAGCATGAGTGACGGCCAACAGCTGGCAGTCTGACGACTCCGAGCGATCAATAACTGCGATCTGAACGATGGGTTTGAACACGGAGCGGTCGATCGTCCTGAAAAACAGGCAAAGACAGACGCATTTGAAGTGAAAAATGCATTACACCGGAAAATATTTATTAAACATGAAAAACAGGAGTGCACGATATATTGGTGATCATATCTGCGACTAACAATATCATTTATAAATCATTTAAAATTGTATTTAAGATATTTTTATTAATAATAACAATTACATTTTTATAATAAAATAATATTATAACAATTATAACATTAATTATTATCAGTAATTAAGAAGAAATAGGAGTGCATGCAACATATTGGTGACCATATTGATACTGACTAGTATTAGTATTTTTTTAATTAATGTTAAATTTATTAAAGATGATACATGGATTATTAATAATAATGTTTTTTTAATTAATGTTACATTTATTAAAGATGATACATGGATTATTAATAATAATGTACAAATTTTATTTGTATAACTAAATGAAATAATTAATAATTAATACATTTTTTATTAAGAAAAACTAGGAGCACACAATATATTGGTACTGACCAATTTTAGCATTTTTAATCCATTTTCAACAAAGATTATGAAATTTTTTTAAATAATAAAATAGTATTTCGATTATAATGTTGTTAGTAATATTATTTAATACTTATTTTTAAAGAAAAACTAGGAGTATTATATTGGTGATCATATCAGTACCAACGAATATTAGATTTTTTAATATTTAATTTCACATTAAAATGATACATTTATTATTAATATATGTTATAAATTAATAAAGTATTTATTTTATAATAAAATGTATTCTTAACAATAGTTAATATAATTAATTTAATTATTTTTCATCACTAATTAGGAAAAATAATATATTGGTGACCATATCAGCATTGACCAATATTTGCATTTTTTTTTTATTAATTTTAAATTTAAGATATTGATAAATATTTTATTATTAATAAAATATGTCTATTATTTGTACAATAAAAACGGTATATTAATAATAATAACAACAACAATTATTATTAATGATTAAGAACAACTTTAAATTAATTTTACATGTATTAAAGATAATGATTTACATAATAATAATAATTTAAAAATTATAAAAAATAAATGACAAATAAAAGCAAATTAATACTCAATTTATAATTACAATAATTTAATCAAATATAATATATTTACTTGTTTTTATGTAAACTTTTTGATTTTAAGATCATATTAATTATCAGCTATGTATTTATTAGCCAAATGTTTTCAATCTGTGCATCTCTACAGAAAACCCAGGTGAAGCTCTACCTGGCGATGTTTCCAGCCGCTGAGACGATGGAGCTCTGAGACATGGCTGCGACTCGACTCATTCCCTGCCCATCAGCGCCGAGATCATACACCTGACAGACACAAAAACAACATTAGACTGTCACCTCAACTCAAACTCAAACTTAGGGATGCACCGAAATTAAACACTTGGCCGAAGGCCGAATACGGTTTTTCGCATTTTTTTCCCCATTTTGCCAATTTTTTTCACCATTGCATAAATGAAATAGCCAAAATGTGCTTTAAAAATATTTACTTAACACTGAACATTTTTTAACATTTTAGCAGACATTATATACCAATAAAACACAATTTAACTTAAAATTATGAAGTTAGTAAAATAATATTTTTTGGCCATTTTTGAGACCCCCTTCTTGAATCAGGCATGTATTTTTTACTGTACAAATAAATGCAGCCTTGCTGAGCAGAAGAGACTTCTTTTAAAACATTAGAAAATATTACAGATCCCAGTGTGAACACTGTGTGTGAATGCTATAATAAATGTATTAACAGAGCTGTTGTAATTATCATTATCCTTTTTATTTTATTTTACAGAACACCAGTAAAATTACAATAACAACATTTATTAATGTTGATGGAGTTTTCTCAGCTTTTATTTTGGCAGAAACCCGCAGGAAGAGCTCAGCGCTTCTTTTTGTCGACAACAGTAGATTTATAAAAGAGTCTCGTTACGAATATGCTGCACGTATCGCATTGTCACATGCCTTGTAAAAAATCATAAAAATGTGACTGAGCAACTGACGAGTAACACTGTGTCGGTTCAGATTTTTCTCGCGCATTGGACTTTGAACCCTGGAGCCGCGAGCTCGTGCAGCGCTGTTTGAATGCATGCAATTCGTTCGTGCATTAGAAAACACTACGTTCTGCAGTTTATTTAATTGTTTAACACTAGAACCGCCACGGGGTAAATTTTACCCGTGGCTGTTTTTAAAACGTACATAAAAGATTTTTAATAAAACATTCAAGTCTCCCAGTCACTTTACAACCCCCTGTTGTTAAAAACTGTTTTGATAAAACCAGATTAAAAAAACGGGGTATTTATACCTATAAGCGCTAGCGCGGGTCAAATTTACCCACTATGCCTGCATGTTCGCGCTGTCATTTTCGTGCCACTTATGTTTTAACATAGTACAGTGCTAGGCAACGCCTTTCACTCACTGAATTAGCGGTTATCAGTTTCATAAATAAAGACAAAATGAGTAAAAGAAGGCGATTTATGAATGCTGAAGAGGTGTAAGAAGCACTAAATGCCATGAGCAATGGAGAGTCTGATGGTGGGGAGTAGACTTGTGCCGGTATTCGGTACCTAATGTTACTCATAATTGTTCAAAATTTGGATTAATTAATTTTGTTTTACCATTTCTATCGTTTATTGTTCGCTTCTGTGTTGCTATTTATTCTAGTCTGCCTGTTTCCTGAAGAAAAAAAATCCGATCTGATGTAGGCTAATGAATAAAACCTTTTTTTTTGATTACCCAAAGTTTATTGCTGTTCTTCTTGTATAATTCAAATTATAAATGATATAACTAAACAAATTAATAATTAATTAGGTGAAGCTGTGCGCTTGAATTTGTCATCGCATCATCCTATGCAATGTGGTGAATTATTATTGCTCATTATTGTCTATAAGCTATTTTAGTCATTTAAATAACATAGGTTATCTTAATATATTGATTAATGACATTGTATTATAATAGCCTATTACACCACCCAAATATACCTTCCAATTCTCGTTGTCAGTGCAGGCTTGTTTAGCTTAATATTGACCGTTATGAAAAGTGACTAGTGTAGCCTGCATAAAAAAAGCCTTGAACATAAAACAACAGGACAAAAATATAGTTGATGACTACACAATTATTTCATGACTCTAGACACTTCTTTGTGAAGACAGTAGCATAACACACTGAAATAATATGTTCTTTAGCCATTCAAAAACAGCTGTCATGTGCGTGTGTAAAATTTACCCGCTGGCGCTTTTAGGTATACAGCGACCCCCGGCGGTTCTAGTGTTAAAGGCATTTCGCGATTTTAGTCATCATACAGTAACCAGCAACAACCACCCCTTCTCTCGGTGCTTGTAATGATTTCTGCGTCTTTCTCGGACTGTTTTACATGCTTCCACACGGCTGTCATGTTTGTTGCATTAGTGCGCGCCTCTATTAGATTGCGTCACGTCATTGTTCGGTACAATTTATTCGGTCCTTTCGCTTATTACACCGAAAGAGCTTTTGTTGCTATTTTCGGCCGAATAATTTCAGTGCAGCCCTACTCAAAATCACAAACACCACAGTCTCTGGTTCATTTATGAAGACCCACCTGCAGGACACCCTTCTCCGAACGCGTGTATAAAATGTTCCTTGAATTATCAACAGCAATTTGGACAACGGGATCTGGAAAAAAAGACACGATTGAATATGAAACATCAATTGGGCTGATTCTGTCTGCTGAAGGACACTCTTACCGTCCTCGGAGAAGGAGAACTGCAGCAGTGAAGGGATGAGGAAGGACAGGCTGCTCTTGGAGTGGTTGATCTTCCTGCAGCGCTGACTGAACCAGCCCGCTTCAGCCTGATAGGCGATCTCGTACAGACAGCCGTCTTTCCCCGCCATGAAGACGCGGCCCACATCCGTGGAGGTGATGGCTAGCAGGTAGGTGTTATCCGTGGGGATGGAGTAGAGAGGATCTGGCAACAGCTGCATGGCTCCTGACATGCTGTCATTCAGACCTGTGGCACACAAACGCAGACTGAGAATTAGGGCTGTCAAAAAAAAAAAAAAAATCGAATTTCGAATATTCGTTGAATTGAAAATAAAAATCCGCATTCCACAATTTTAAATGTGCGTTAAGGAGGCAGCCTTATCAGTGGCGCACGAGATGCGATGACGATGTAGTGTTGCATTATAATGCATTTGTTAGCCTATCCAGTTGAAGCCACTAGATGCAGCGCTGCTGCATTGTTAATTACAAATATTGCGGGAAAAAAAGAACATCAACGCGGAGAAGATCTTGTTTACGTCAAAACTGAAAGCAAGCCGTTCACACAGAACACATATTTATCACATTTTCTAGAGGGACATCTATCAGCGTTGCACTCGCGTCTCACACAAAAGAGCAGCATGTTTAGAAAGCCATGTAAAATTAACGCAAGTTTAACTTTGAAAAAAACGTATCTCGAGACTTCATGGTGGGGTTTTTTCCCCATCCCTCTGCTACTCGTGTTTTTAAATTAAAAATGTACTCCGTGTGATTGGCTTTCGGCCCTTTGTATTAAACTTTGCATACATACATGATGCTGTTTTGTTTATAGTTGTTTAAGCAACTTAATTATAATTGGTTTATAAACATTATTTTAAACATTATGCACTTTTTTTCCACAGATAGTAATGTTATCTTATGCTTTGAAGAAACGTGCATTAGTAATATTTTGCTCGATGCGCCCTCGTGGCCTCAGGAGAGAAGCCAAAAGCTTTTCTTCACCCTAACTGAAATTATGCATTTTAAATTCGAATATAATTCGAATTTTGATAATATTTAATTAAAAAAATTCAAATGTAGTTTTTCAGCCGTTTTGACAGCCCTACTGAGAACGAATCCAACATGTGCCAATGCTGATTAAATCACATCCAAACATGACACTCACCTGTATGGGCTTTTGGGAAGCTCAAGCCCAGGATCACGACATCCACCGGTGTGGCCAACACTAACAGGAAGTGGATGTGAGGCTGAAAAATACCTGTAACCAACAAAAGTGGCTGGTTGAGGTAGCTAGTAATAAAAAAAATGACCGATTCTTGAAACAGCATGAGATTTTTTTTTAATGACTGTGGGCTTAGTTTGCTTTCCTCTCCCTATTAATGGTTCTGTTTATTAATTAATTAATGTTTTTTTATTATTACTATTTTTTTCAATAATACTTTTTATTTATGTATAAATTCCCATAAATTACATAAATTGCTTTTTAAAAATAGTAATTATAATAGTAATCATAAAACACTTATAAATAATACAATTTTATAATTTGGTGTTTTAACACAATCATGTTTTTATATTACAAATATTGCATTGAGATGGGTAATCTTTGTTGCTAAACATAAGAGTAAATATAAACAAAAAAATTTAGTAAATAAAAATATGAATTTATTAATAATACATAAATTAAACAAATAATATAAATTAATTATATATAGAGTAAATATAAGCAAAAATGTAAACATATATATATATATTTAATATAATATAATATATAAACATTAAAACAAATGTAGCATCATAATTTGATGTTTCACCACTGATCATATTTTTATACAAAACATAATAAATATAATTATAAACATTCACACACACACACACATACACTTTTTGATTATGTTTACTCTGTTTTGTGCATGTATTTTTTCTGTTGTTTGTTACATGCAAACTTTTGTGTTGATACTCTTTAATGTTCTCTTGAAGGAGTTTGTATGTTTCTGTTTGGGTGTATCATTTCAGTTTTTTTCAATAATAAAAAAAAACCTGTAACAACTAAGACTACCCATGTCAATACAATAATATTGTAATATAAAACAATCGGTGGTTAAACATCAAATTATGACAAATAAAAATCTCCAGAAGGAAATCTTGCGATGCATTACATGCATGTTTTTAGGTAATGACTGATTTATCATCCTAATAATCAATCCACAGCATTCTCAACAACTTCTGACGGTGAGCACTAAATAGTGCACAACAAATAAAACAACTAACCAGGCTTAGGTCTGACCAGTCCAACTGACAGAATAGTTTCACTGAGCCCGTCAAAATAAGCGACATCACTCCTGAAGAAACGAACAAGACAAACAAACCTCAGTGAACATCATACATCCGAAATACTTCCAGAAATATTTAAAGTGCCAACATTATGCACTCACAAGTCTGCTAGAACACATTTAGATTTTGTAATATAATTTACGTGCAAAAACAGCTATATTACACATTAAAAGGAAAGGTAAAATAAAAAAAGCATTATAATATGTGTCATCCTACTCACCCATCCTCATAATTCCACATAAAAATGTCATTATCAATGGTGAGCCACGCTCTGGAGATTTCAGGGAAAACTCCCATCATGCAATTGCACTGCATATCTGGTAAAAGTGGCAATTAAGGCACTGCAGACAACTTAACGGATTAATTCTACAAGACGCTTTTCATTGTAGGGTTTATTGTATAAAATGAGCATCTCTGTGGTAGGATACGACCGAACTGCTCGACGAGCTCCGGAGGCAGAGGAACCCTGCGGATGGCGCTGAGCTCCGGGAGACTCGGCACGCTGATCAGTCCCGGTCCCTGCAGAGGGTAATCCATGTCCGACACGCCCGAGAGCGAAGGCATGTCTACCGAACACCAGACACAAGCACACGAATGTGTTTTATGCTCAACAAGCATGTGTTAGCAAGAGGCAATTTAAAGGGTTAGTTCACCCAAAAATGAAAATTAGGCTGTGTTTTACTCACCCCCGAGGCATCCTAGGTGTATATGACTTTCTTCTTTCAGACGAATCCAGTCGGAGTTATATTAAAAATTGTCCTGGCTCTTCCAAGCTCTATCATTGCAGTGCTTCAGTCCAAAAGTAGTTAAATAAAAAGCGCCCATCCATAAAAAAAAAAAAGTGTCTCACACGGCTCCGGGGATTGAACAAAGGCCTTCTATAGCGAATTGATGTGTTTTTGTAAGAAAAATATCCATATTCAAAACGTAATAATCACTTTAATGTAGCTTGCGCTCACTGTTGTACACAGAAGCAGCTCCGGGAGGATGTCGTATGAGGTCAGTGTTGCGCATGCGCCGCTCAGAAACTGCGGCTGGACTGCTGGAGCCCAGACTGGACGGCATGATCACTGGAGACTACAAACCACCTGCAGAAAGAAGAACATCTATTATTATTATTATATATTATTATTTAAATTTATTAATATATTTATAGTAAGAAATGCAATATATTACAACAATGTTTAAAATATATTATAATTTATTTTAATAATTTTAAATGTATATACGTATATATATATATATATACTGCTGTTCAAAAGTTTCGGATCAGTACGATTTGTAATGTTTTTTAAATAAGTCTCTTCTGCTCATCAAGATTGAATTTATTTGATCAGAAATACAGAAAAAACAGTAATATTGTGAAATATTATTGCAATTTAAAATAACAATAACTTCATCAAAGAATCCTAAAAAAAAGTATCACGGGTTCCAAAAAAAATATTAAGCAGCAAAAACCGTTTCTAACATTGATAATAAATCAGCATATTATACTGATTTCTGAAGATCATGTGACTCTGAAGACTGGAGTAATGATGCTGAAAATACAGCTTTGATCACAGAAATAAATTACAGTTTAAAGTATATTAAAATAGAAAACTGTTATTTTAAATTGCAATAATATTTCACAATATTCCTGTTTTTTCTGTATTTCTGATCAAATAAATGCAGCCTTGATGAGCAGAAGAGACTTCTTTAAAACACATTACAAACCTTACTGATCCCAAACTTTTCAACGGCAGTGTAAATAATATGCATAAATATTTGTGTGTGTGTGTGTGTGTGTGTGTGTGTGTGTGTGAAATAACACTAAATAAATAGATATACCACATTAAACACATAAAACAACAAATGCATAAACATATATACAAATACACACTTGAAAACCCCAAGCTAAGAGTTTAGATTAAATAATAACTAATGTGAAAATACTAGAATCATGAAACATTGCATTTAACTCACCTGTGACTGTATAACCATATCCAATCATAATATACAAACAAAGAGCTTTTATTTACCTGATTTGAAAATAAACACGTTGTGTTGTTAAATTAAGTTTAAATGAATCCGGCACGTTGAGTAGCTTAGCTTTAGCCGCACAGCTAATTCAAAACACAGAGCACCCGAGAGATGGACCATTATTCTCCAAAGAGCTTTACTCGAGCTCTGACTGAACACTGCATCAAATAAACTCACCTTTTATAATTTATATTCATAAAATATCAGCTGAAAGTGAAAGAAGAAAGTGAGCTTGTGAACTTCAGCGCCTCCCGCCAAGCGCGTGTGACTGCAGCGAGCGTGAAGCGCGCCGGAAACAGTGTCGCCTTTCAAAATAAAAGTCTCCAGATTCTCCTGCAGAGCCTGGCTGAGACTAACGAGCTCTAGACTAAAGAAATAAACGAGACTATTGTCTAAGCCTACATTCAAGCTGTCTACTGTTTTTTCTGCATGTTGGTGTTTTATCTTTCACTTGGATGTTATAAGTTGCACTGAGTAAATACAGCTGGATAAAACGAAAGCTGTGTCCGTCTTTCAGGCTTCAGAGCAACAAAATGTAATTATTTTAAAGGGGGGTGATTCTTTTCTATACCCACTTTATGCAAACATTTACAGCCCAGCAAACACAGAACGTTCCTCTAACGTTAGTTTTTTTTTTTTTGAGAACCAAGAAATAACGTTCTGGGAACGTTATAATAACATTAGTGGAACATTAGATTAACGTTAGAATAACGTTCTGGGAACCAAAAAAACTATGTCCTGCGAACATTATAATAACGTTAGTGGAACGTTAGATTAACGTTAGAATAACGTTCTGGGAACCAAAAACTAACATTCTATTTCCGTTAAGAAAACATTCCTGGCTAACCAAAAACAAACCATAAAAACTAATGTTCTGGGAACCAAAAATTGTTAGCTGGGTGTTCGCTATGCTTTTTTAAAAATTTTTTATATGGTTATAATTTGTATGTTCCTGTTCTCTGCAATTAAAAAATAATAATAATAATGCGTGCAGCGATCCACAAATGCACAGAAAGCCATTCACAAATATACGGGGAAGCGATCCACAAATGAATGCCAGGTAAAGTTGCGTTTGCAGAATAAAAATACATTTTAGTGAATATGTTTTTTATTTGCAAATCTCATTTTATTTATTTGTGAATTTAATTCATGTTTGTGGAACTCTATTTGTGGATCTCATTCTACATGTTTAATTTTTGTTCATCTCTTTACATTTAGGCTATTTATGCATCATAATCTATGTACTTGGAATAATGCAATCTATCTCCGTACACATTTCACCTTCAAACAAACACTGTAATGCGTCGCAGGCTGCATGTATCCATAAACGACGGTGATTGGCGCTCGTGTGACCAATAGCAGCAGGTCTGACCGACACATAAACATCATCCTTGTGTACTAGAAGCGCTGCTAAACTACAGCATCCCGACAGAGATCGGATGGGACCGGGACGGGCGAGATCGGTCCGATGATCGGCGCGATATCGGTCATTAATGCGGCGCGGTGCTGATGCGAGTCGCCACACCCTGCGCGCGCAGCTCTGACTCACGAGGACGGTCTGCCATCCTGCGCACATTCATCCCTCGCACGAGCGGCACGGCAAGGCATCGCAGCGGACAGCAGCCATGGCAGGTGAGCCGTGCAGCTTCATCTGTGCAAAAACAGAGCTTAGAGCCCGTCAGGGTGAGCTCTGGATGAGAATCTGTGTGTTTGTTTACAGAATCGGAGACGCGTCAGAGGCTGCTGCGCAACGTCAAGAAGGAGGTGGGAGATTTTCTGCGTGTGTCTCATTGTTTATCAGATATTGATTAGATGATCGATAGAGGCTGTCGGTTGCGGGTGCTAAATGTGCACACACACACACACACGCACGTCTGATGATGATAATACCTCAGCGCACATCTGCTCATTAGACTGTCGTGCACTGTGTGTGTTTATAAAGAGGATGCATCTAAACAAGGTCATTCTGGTTTGTCCTCTTTGTGTCATCATGTCATCAGCCATTTGCTTTCTTAAGGAGGCCGATATGATATTGTCTTTGTGGTTGTATGGTACTGTGATCGAATCAGATAATGGCATGGTAATAGTAAAAATCATGGTTGTGATAGATGGCATGTATTTGTTACAGTACTGAGCATCATCTCTGTTAATCAATCATTTTAGTCAATTATAATCACATATTATTACAGTGCTTATTAAGAGCATAATGCGATAGAAATACAATCTAAATAAAATCGGAGTGGTTTTTACTCCTTAATGTAAAGTTATTATTCTTTATAATACAAGATATAAGATATATATATATATATATATATATATATATATACACACACACACACACACTTGATATATTTACGGTAGGAAATGTACAAAATATCTTCATGGAACATGATCTTTACTTAATATCCTAATGATTTTTGGCATAAAAGAAAAATCTATCATTTTGACCCATACAATGTATTGTTGGCTATTGCTACAAATATACCCCAGCGACTTAACACTGCTGTTGTGGTCTATTATATATAAGCTAACATGCAACATTTCTCATTTTTATTTTGATGTACTATAATAGCTAAAAAATAAAATAAAAGTAAAAATTAATAAAAACTTTATCGAAAGATAAAAAAATGAAAAAAAATGAAAAAAAGCGCAACAAAATGATTCAAACATTAACTACTACAACACTACTGTAGAACACACTTTCGTGAGCTTCGGATTGGAACGACCCAACAACAAAGCTGTCGTGATTGATCACCCTTCAACATGCCGTATGAAGGTGTTGTTTATATTGCTCGGCGTGCACCGCATGAGTGTGATTTCAAAAGCAGAATCCCAAGGCGTCAGAGAGTGAAGCTGCTGTGATCGGCGCACATATGTCCATCTGCACATGCTCTCCTCTCATTATGACTGCACTACAGACTCAGCCGTGAGTAAGAGAGCGTGTTTAACTCACTGTCAACATGCTCAGCTCTCCTCACCCGTTACCCATGATTCTCAGAACACTGCAGTGAGGAGGTTGAGATTCTCAGATGTCAGTTTCTTAAACCTTGTTGGACTTTCAGGTCAAGCAGATCATGGAGGAGGCCGTGACACGCAAGTTTGTGCATGAAGACAGCAGTCACATATTCTCTTTCTGCGGTAAGATCATCTTCCCTTAAAAACCCTGAAATAACAGTCAAAATTTAATAGTAGTAGTATTAATAATAATATTTTTAATCAATTTGATCATTATTTTGTGAATTGTAATTAATTACTATTTAATTATCATTATTTTATTTCATTAGTTATTGTTGTTAGTAATATAGAAACCATTTTAAATCATGTCAATGTGTTGTGCCTGAAAGCTTTCTTCATAAGAGTATCTTTAGAGTATTCTTAGAGTAATAGTTTTTAGTAGTATTTTGAAGCCGTTTGTATTTTTTAGATCTTCCATTTTCAATTTAATTTTAATTAAAGTTGTATTAATTTTGTTGTGTTTTTGTCATTTTTATTACTTTTTTTTATATATATCAATACATTTTTGATACATTTTTAGTTATTTTAGTACGTCAAGTTGGTATGTGTTGGTAAGTTTTTTAATGAAAATTAAATTTTTTTCAGGGAACCAGTGTTGTTTTAGTATCACTGATATACTATTATAGTTTTTATTAATATTTTGAATCAGTTTTATATTTTGTTTTCATTTTAAATTTTTCTTAAAATTTTAGTAATTTTCTTGTGTGTTTTTGTAATTTTTAGTAGTATATATATATAGTTTTTATACATTTTTATTTCAGGTTTCGTTTTAGTTATTTTAGTACATGAAGTTAAACTGTATTAAATTGAGAAAAAGTTGCCTTGGCAAATAGCTGAAATAAATTGTTTTATATTTTATTTTATTTCAGTTAATGTTTTTTTTTTTTATTTCAATTAATGAAATACATTTGAATATATATTCACAGCTGTTTTAAATTGTAATAATATTTAACAGTATTTTTACTGTATTCTTGATCAAATAAATGCAGCTTAGTGAGCAGAAGAGACTTTTCTTTTAAAACAAAAAAATCTTACCAACTCCAAACTTTTAAAAGGTAGTGTATATTTTAATATTTTTGCATATAATCTATTATTAATTTTGCATAGACTTCTGATCTGAGGTTAGGTGGTTTCAGGACTAGCGATGATGTAATATATAAAATATAATTTTAAACAGATAAACAGAAAAACAAAAATTGAAACCGAAACTGAAATAAAATAAATATAAAAAACTTTATTTCAGCTATTTGCCAAGGCAACATTTTCTCAGTTTAATACAGTTTAACTTCATGTACTAAAATAACTAATCAGCTCTCTCTCAGTGTGCATTGTGTGTGTGTGTGTGTGTGTGTGTGTGTGTGTGTGTGTGTGTGACAGTATGGTGAGTGGGCTGCTGAAAGGACACCTGATGACTCGGGTTCACTCATCTGACTGATGGCACACACATCATATCCGTTTGTCAAACCACCTCCAACTGACATGTGTGTGTGTGTGTGTGTGTGTGTGTGGTCACACACTCCTTTCTGTGGGTAGTAAGGTCCTGGCCAAGGTGATGCTTCATAGACTGATTAACAACATCACTGAGTCAATGCTGGCTGAATCGCAGTGTGGATTTAGGAAGAATAGGAGCATGATCGACATGATCTTCACAGCCTGGCAGCTTCAGGAAAAGTGCCGGGAGCAACATCAGGACATGTTTATGGCCTTTGTCGATCTCTCAAAAGCATTCGACACCGTGCAAAGAGAGTTCTTATGGGATGTACTCCTCAGGTTTGGCTGTCCCAATAAATTTCTTAACATCCTCCGCCAGTTCCATGATGGGATGACTGCTCGGCTGTCCATAGGCGGACAAGAGTCCGAGCCCTTCCTTGTGCGCACAGGGGTGAGGCAGGGGTGTGTGCTAGCACCAGTGCTCTTTAACATCTTCCTCCTGTGTGTCACCAAGCTTCTCCACAATGAGATTGAAAATACCAGTGGCATAGCAGTAGACTTCAGATTAGACGGCAACCTCTTTAATATTAGGAGGCTACACGCAACCAAAAAACTCTGTAGAGAGCGGGTCCTGGAGCTGCAGTATGCAGATGACTGTGCTTTTGTGGCCCATACTCCAGAGGACCTTCAAACTGTCCTTGCTGTGGCGGTTAGGGCGTACAGCAGGATGGGGCTCACTGTCAACACCACCAAGACAGAAGTGGTTTGCCAATGGAGTACCAATGTCCCACCCACACTTCCTGCCTTCACTGTTGGGGATGAACAGCTGTCAGTAGTGCCATCTTTTAAATATCTGGGGAGTATTCTCGCTGAGGACTGTGGCATCGACAACGAAATCCAGAGACGCATTAAACAGGCATCAGTTGCCTTTGGGAGACTTCAGCGTAGAGTCTTTCACAACAAGAATCTTCATCCCTCCACAAAGCTCGCCGTATACCAAGCGGTCTGTGTCACCACCCTCCTCTATA